GGATTGCTCTGACCCAGGTGTAGGACCTTGCACTTGGCATGGTTAAACTTCATGAGGTTGGCATCAGCCCACCTCACAAGCGTGTCAAGGTCCCTCTGGATGGCATTCCTTCCCTCCAGTGTATCAACTGAACCACACAGCTTGGTGTCATCGGCAAACTTGCTGAGGGCGCACTCAATTCCACTGTCCATGTCAGCGACAAAGATGTTAAACAAGACCGGTCCCAACACTGATCCCTGAGGGACACCACTCGTTACTGGTCTCCAGCCGGACATTGAGCCACTGACCACAACTCTTTGCGTGCAGCCATCCAGCCAGTTCTTTATCCACCAAGTGGTCCATCTATCAAATTGATGTCTCTCCAATTTAGAGACAAGGATGTTGTGTGGGACAGTGTCGAACACTTTGCACAAGTCCAGGTAGATGACATCAGCTGCTCTACCCCTGTCCATCAGTTCTGTAGCCCCATCACAGAAGGCCACCAAATCGGTCAGGCAGGATTTCCCCTCAGTGAAGCCATGCTGGCTGTCACCAAGCACCTTGTTGTTTTTCATGTGCCTCAGCATGCCTTCCAGGAGAATCTGCTCCAAGATTTTGCCAGGCCCAGAGGTGAGACTGACTGGTCTGTAGTTCTCTGGATCATCTATTTTCCCCTTCTTGAAAATGGGGGTTATATTTCCATTTTTCCAGTCATCGGGAACTTCACCTGGCTGCCATGATTTTTCAGATATGATGGACAGTGGCATCAATCAATAATGGCTCAATAATCAAACCAAGGCAAACGGTTTCAAGCCTTCCCACATGTGTGGGTACAAGATAAGCCACCTCTCTGTCACATCAGGTCTAGACTCCGGCACATAAACACTACCAAAAGCGCAGCGATTACAGCTGTTAGGAAGGGAATCCTCCCTTCCGCACGTCCCACGCCGCCCGGTACCTGTCGTGCGGCGCTGCCGCTAGAGAGCACTGCCGGGCCGCGCTGGGCCCGGGGCTGAGGCCGGGGCGCAGCCTCTCGTTCCGCGCTGCAGCTTTGGCGCTCGGTAATGCTGTCACAGGCCGCGAGGCTGAGCTGTGGAAACGCGGCGCTGGAGCTGCGCCTCCTGTCTGCAGTTAAACACGCTGGCAAACGGGGGGTGATTTCCCGGGGCGTGCAATTCCGCGGTCAAGCCACGTTCCGTGGTTTTGCAGCTGACGTGGAAGATGGTGTGTACAGAAGAGAGTTGAAAGTAGAATAAAAGAATCACAGGATCAAGTAGGTAGGTTGGAAAAGAGCTTTAAGATCATCAAGTCCAACGGTCCACCAACCAGCACTGGAATTAGACCACCACTAAACCGTGTCACTAGGGGTCTCACCCACACCGGTTTTGAACACTTCCAGGGATGATGACTTTCCTGGGCAGCTCTTCCAACCACCTTTTGGTGAAGAGATTGTTCGTTCTAGTCAACCTAAACCTCCCCTGGTGCAGCTTGAGGCCGTTACCTCTTGTCCTATCGCTTATTACTTGGGAGACCGACCCCCCCCCGACCCCTCCCTTGCTACAACCTCTTTTCAGAGTCATTATTAAGGCTACAAAGATCAGATCACACTGTTTACCACACGGGCCATGTCTTGGTTTCTTCGTTCTGCATTTTCTGTGTTTTTTTAGTGAAAACCTCAGGCATCCTGGTGGTGACAACGGCACAATCATGCTCAAAGCCCCAGATCCCGACAGATGGATTGAGTTTCAAGCCAGTGGGCTGAGGTAAGTGGCTGTTCACCCTGCTTGATGCGTACAAGCCCACACCTGGAATACTGGATCCAGTTAGGGTAACCCAGTACAAGAAAGACATTGTTATTCGGGAGCCCAGCTGAGGCCATGAGATACAGATCTGGAGCATAGTATAGGCTGAGGGAATCAGATTTATTCACCTGGAGAAGGCAAGTGTGAAGTCTACCTTGCAGTCCCTGAGAGTTATAGGGAAGATGGAGCTGGTGGGGTCTTCTCTGAAGTGCACCATGGTGGGACAAGAAGCAAAGAGCAAAAACTGTGATGAGGGAAAGTCTGGCTGTACATAAAGGAAAACTTTTTTCCCTTGCAGTGCCTGGGATGGGCACTTGGGGATAGTGGTGTCTCTAATGTTGGAAATGGTAGGACTTAGTTGGAAAACCCTCTGAGCAGTCTGGTCAGAGCTGGATGTGCTTTGAGCAGGGGTTGGGTTCAAGATCTCCAGGTACCTCTTCACGCTTTTCCTATAGTTGTATGGTTTCCTGGTGAAACAGGAGAGCCAGGCCGGCAAGAGGAGCACTGCTGAGCCCAGAGGGCACATAGCTACAATCCTGGCAGTAATAGAGAGGTATTTATTCAAATGGTGAACACCAAACAGGAAGGATCAGAGCTTGCACACTCTGAGGAAGAAATGATGCCCAAAGAGGGAGTGGGTATTTGCTGTCACCAGGATTTACTACCTGAAGTCAATATTGGTAAATCAACCAGCAAGTTTTCTTATCTCTGCAGGAGCAGGTTCTTGTGGGGTGAAATGGCTTTTCGTTGACCTCTGTCTCTAAGTTACTGGCTCACTTTTTTCTGCTCAGGCTTACCCATGACTTCACTTCTGCTAAGGGCCAGAAAACGATCCCAGCTGGAAACACCACCCACGAACAACAGCCTGCCACAAATCACTGACTCTCTGTGAATGTGGGGGACGCCATTTCATAAGAGCAGTTTGAGAAGCAGGAGGCAGATTGCACAAACCAAACAACTTCTCCCAAGGAGCTGGAAGCATGTTTCCTGGGAGGATATCAAAGGGTAATTAGCTTTGGACAGAGAAGAGTCTGGTTCTCCTGAGTGTGATGTGAACTTCCTTCTGCTTAGATGTCCTGTCAGCCCCCAGGATGGCAGAGCATGGGGACAGGATCTGCAGCCCGGGGATGACCTCACAGCAGCGTGGGCAGCCCAGCCCATTGACAACACCAAGCTGTGTGTCATGAATAAGGAGACCATCACAGTTGTCATACCCACTGCATATCACAGCATGCCTGCTTTGGTCTGTGTGGCTCAGGTAGCAGGTCAGAGCATCCTGGAAAAACCTCATGCAGCTCTCTTATGCTGCAGTACAGCACAGCAAGGAGGAGAGCATTGTGTCAGGCACTGACCCAGCTCTCTGTGCTTGCCCCACAGCTCAGAAGCCATCTCCCTGCACTTACTTTTCATCATCAAGAAGGCTATAGTCCCAGCCTTCACCTTCAAGTCAGACCCACACCCTGTTTGTCATCCCAAAGGAAGAAATATTCCCTTATTGGACAGGTAACGACATCTGTCTGGGGCTCAGGAAGGAGGGAAGAGAGGGATAAAGTAATGCACTGTTTGTGAGAAGCAGCAGCCTCCCTCTCTATACGCAGATCTATTCAGAGAGCAGGACCTACCTCAAGGATGGATGCACATGGATCTCTTTGTGTCCAGCTTTGCACCTGCACCCCATCTGTATACCAAGAGCTCTTTTACCTGCCCTCTTATCAGAGAAAGAAATGAGAAATGGTGTGTTGGGAGTGAAAGTGCTGTTAAGGAGTGCTTTATCTTTCCCTTGTTTATTTTGTGATAAGGTTTGTTGCTTGCAGGCACATCCTTCTCACTGGTTGCCAAAGAAGTCAGTTAGAGTGAGAGAGAGCAGCTCTAAGTCAGGGCACACAGGACCTGGGGTGACTGCCATCTCTGTTGAGGTGCTTTCTCTGGTTCCCGGGAGCCTATGCTCACAGGGAGCTCCCCAGCCTTTGTAGCGCAGGACCATGTGTGTTTCAGCAATGATCATTGCCCCGTGTTCACCCTGCCTGACTCTGCCAGGCCTTTGCCACCTCCTGCACCTCCACTTAAACACTGGAGAAGGAAGGCTGTGGTTGTTTTGTGCCCTCCATGACTGACAGGAGGGTTAATTTTCTTCCTAGTAGCTGGCACAGTGCTATATTTCAGCTTTAGTCTGAGAACAATGCTGGTAACACGCTGCTAGTTTAGTTATTACTCAGTAGCACTTACCTTGATCAAGGGCTTTTCAATCTTTCATGTTCTGCCAGGGGAAGTGGAAGGAGAGGGTGTGTGAGTGACTGTGTGGTGCTGAGTTACCAGCTGGGCTTAAACTATGACAGTAAGAGATCTTGCTCTTTTCCTAGAGGTACAAGTCACTCAAGCTTGCGTTAGCTGAGATGTCTGTCGAGTCTGAAACATCACCAGGACACCTGTATAGAGAGATCCATCCCTCCAGGAGCTGCCTGTGGGGAAGAGGCTGCATTTGCTTTGTTATGGCACTGCTGGATGCTTTCTGTTTTGACACCCACCAAGTGCTTTAGAGCTTCTGGTGATGTAACATCCCAGGGTTTCAGACTGGGGAGACTGTTCCCCTTGGTGTGACGTCCCTGGGACCAAAGCAGGGGCATGAGTCAGTAATGTCCATCCTGTCACTGGAGAGGCAGTGTTACTGGTGTCACTGGTGACATGTCACATCTGCTGAGACACAGAGACTTGCAGGGCTCTGGGACAGCAGCAGTGACACCACTGGAGCCACAAAAATATCCTTACATCTCCCAAATGGAGGCCTGGCCACCATGGGAGACAGGCCCTTCGTAAGTCAGATAATGGCAAGAGACCTCCATCTCAACTCAGGAGAAGAAAGACCCCCGATGTCAGGATATTACAAGAACATAAGAAAGCCATCTCCCCAGCCAAGCACAGAAGACCATAAGACCTGAAATGTGGGCAGAGAGGCATCCCATTCCTTCCTGGCTTTAGGAGAAACCCTGGGTGTCAGGCTGGGGAGCCAGGGGCACAGAAAGGCTCCTGTCTTTGCCCCAGATGCCATTTCCCAAGCTGTTGCACTCAGATGTTTTCAACCATCTTTTGTTTGCTGAATGCAGTGGCCAAGGTTGCAGTGAGGCTGCCCAGAAACTGAAACCAAAATGGTTTCCAGGCTTTAGGAAACCAAGCTGTTTACCAGGAGGGTAAGAGACCATAAGAAAGACTTCAGACTGAAGGTGATGAAACACGTGCCTGTTTTATTGTGTTCAGGAAAAAGCCCAAGCTGAGCAGCTCCAGCTAGCTAAGAGTGCAGTGAGTACATTTGCCCTAATTCTAACTTGAAAGAAGAATGAAAAGAAGAGTGACCAGGAGCATATGGGCTTTGTTACAAGGAAAGAGCAGGTCAAAATCACTCTGCAGTACCTACTGGAGTTTTCTAGGCAGGAGTCAAAATGTTCTGAACAGGAAAAACCCTGATCAGAAAACTAAAAGAGAAAGGGAATGTGTTCATTATCCTGGCAGAGACTATCCAGAGGAGCATTCAGATCCTCAGGTATCTCTGCTTCGGTCAGATTCAGCAGCTCCTCATCACCTGTAAGACGTGTAAGAAACAGATTATTTCATACTGCGGTGTTCTCGTGTGTTACCCCTCTGTGCTGTGCTAAAGCCCCCATGGACAGGCTCCTGAGATTGCCTGTGGTGTTAGGCAGCTCCTGGTGGCCTGCTTGCTTTTCAAAAGACACAGCAGCCCAGGGGTAGCGGAGGGGAGTTGGAGAAGGTAAAGCCCCAGTGGGTTTCAAAGGGGTTTCTGCAGGAACCTGTTGCCCTAGTGACAACTTTCCCCCTGTCCCAGTGTCAGCCCTGAAACTGGGTGGACTGTGGACAGAGTGTGCCTGGGTTTTGGCCCTCTCTCGCTGACCAGCTCTGGCCTGAAGAGACTGCATCTTCTCTGCACAGCATCTCTGCCCTAAGCTGGCTTTTGGCAGAGCCACAGAGGTGTCTGTAGAACAAGCAGCCATTTAGGACCAGGGACCACAGGCCCCATGCCAGAAGCTCTACTGACAGTAGTGGGCTTTTTGTCACTCCCCATGACTTGGAGAGTGGTATCTGCCCCTACAGCCCCAGTATTCCCCCACCCATTCACAGTGTTGTGGTTTAAGTCCACACAGAGCTACCCAGGTCATCACATTTGATGGGGCAGGGACCTGTGCCCTAGTGGTGCTGCAGGGTGGCTGTTGATAAGGTAGGTAACCTTGGCGGATAGTCCTCAAGAGGTGGCTCTGCACTGTTCCTGAACCCTCACAGAGCCAGCAGCTCGGCAGCAGCTCACCCACAGCATCCTGGCTACTGGTTGACAGCTCCCCATCCATACCTCCCATTGGTATCGCAGCACCCAGCCCCTGGGTTGTCAGCACAGGCGACTGCTCCTGTTGCACTGGCTCAGGTGGCGCTGGCTTGGGTGCCACTGGCTCAGCCTTCTCCTGCAGCTTGGGCTTGGGCTGGACATCTTCCAGTTCTTCCACCAGTTGTTCCACTGGTTCTTTCGATGATCCTGCCTGCGATTCCACCTCCAGTTCCACCTTCAGTTCTGCCACTGGTTTGAGCTCCACCACCAGCTGGTTGCTCCTTCCTTTCTTGTCTTCTCTGGCTTTCCTCTGCTTTTTGATCCTTGGCTCCCTCCAAGGGGATTTCACATGAATGAAAGTTGGGCTTGGGGAGGAGGACTTTGCCTCCTGCCCCAAAGCTTCTTGCCTTTACTGTAATTGTGCCCCAGTCCATCCCAGCAGAAGCTGCCCTTCCCCAGCCTTCCTCCCCAGTTCTGCACAGCAGCATCCTGTAGCTGCACTGGCAGGTGGGAGCCTGGCACCAAAATCTCCCCCAGCTCCACTCTGTGGTTGAGGATTGCTTGCCACTCAACCGAGCACCTACATAACCACCCCCATCTGTCTCTGCCCCGCAGCGCCTGCCTAGACCTTCTTCAGCTTTCCCCACTGAAGACTGATGGGACCCAGCTCGTCCCTGTCCCTGTACAAAGATCAAGTGGCTAGGATGCCATGCCTGGGCTCAGGTTAAGTGCACCAAAAAAACAACCCCACAGCATAAGCAGGTTTTTACCTATAAATCCAGTAAGCTGAGTTCTTCTCCTGGGCTTTTTCCTTTCTTTTCCGGAGCATCTCACGGTCTCTCAAGCGGCGGGAGATGGGGATTTCTGCATGGAAAAATTAAGTGGTAACATGACAATTCAACACCTCCCTGCCTGGTGACAAACACTGGTGCAAGAAGCCATGCTCTTTTTGTCATGAAGCAGGTCTTGCTGTGAAACTGCTTGGGTGCTGTACCTCCAGCTCAGCCTCAGTGGGTAGGATCTCATGACAAACACCCCCAAAGCTCCTGTGCTCCTGTGCTGAAAGTTACTCTAAACTTCTAGTTGCGGTTTTCCTGCTGTTGCTGCAGCTCTGGGGTGAGGAGAGAGTGAGCCAGAGGGCACAGGCTTTCCTGTAAACAGATGCTTGTGTGTATTAGGATGAGACATTGTGGGTGATGCTGACCCAGCCAGAGACGAGGACAGGGCTAGTACACATTGCTGTGAGTGAGGAGACTGGTGCCTAAAAACACAACAGCTGCCCCAAGCTTGTCTGCAGCTCTGAAGACGACCATGTCAGGGCTGAAGACAGACTGTTGTCAGACTGGGTCCAATGCTGACTTTACCATTTAGTCAAGATGTGCAGGTTACCTACAGCCACCAGGAGAAAGGGGCACCTCCCTACATCTCCATCACCCCGTGCAGGGCCAACTTTAAAATTACATCAAGCAATCCAGGCCCTTGTCCAGGGAAGTAGGAATACCTTAAAGCCCACATATCTGATCTCTGCACCACTCTCAACCCTCATGTTTTTTCTGCTTTTCTATCCAGCCATATTTGCAATGTGGACCAGGTGCCTCTTGCCTTTTGCTGTGCACCCCTAAAAGGAGTGTGGCTCTCGCTTCTCTTAGCCCCTGTTAGACAGAGGATGACTGCAATGAGCTCTCCTCAGTTATGTTTTAATTCTTAGGAGCCTGTTCAGGGCTATGTTTGGTTTCAGTCTCAGGAAAGTGCTGATAACACACTGATGTTTTTGTTAGTGCTTACGTAGCGCTTGTACTTCTCAAGGACTTGTCAGGTCTTCTGCTTTGCCAGTGAGCGAGGGAATTAGCCATTCTAGAGATGATTTACCACCTTTTGCTTTGAGCACAGTAGTGCCATACAGGAAAAGAGGGCTCCTCTCCTAAAAAATTCCAGCCTAACAAGAGAAAGGACACAGCAGTATACACAATTCTGAAGGCAACATGCAATGATAGTGCCAGAGTCTCTTAGTGATGGCAGGGTCACCTCAGCATCACCCAAAAGAGTGTCAGCCTCCGAGGGCAGTCCACCACTGAACTTGGTCTGCACAATGCAAGCAGATGTTCCGCAGTCGTGAGGCTGTTCCCAGACTCGAAGCAGTGTAAGAAGCAGTAGGGCACAGCCAGCATGAGATGACCCTGCCATCCACATAGCAAAAGGCAGAAAGGAGCCTGGAAAGAGGAGGTTACAAGGTGCAATAGCAGGATCTGCATCAGTTTAACTACTAAAGTACTTAATCCCTTGCACACCCCTTGCACAGCCAAGGTAACTAACTTTCCGTTTCGATAGGTCCTGTGAGCCATAAAAGCACTTCTAGCTGCTTGCAATCAGTTTCCTTCCCTACCCATCCTTAGCAAATTGTTTTGCATGAGTAGAAAACACCTCTCACTCCTTTCTCACTCCAAGAGAGCACTCCCACAGATGCTCCAGAGATGTCAGCTGTTAACACTAAGCAGGAAAGATCACAGTAAAACATCTGTGCCCTGGTGAAAAAAAATCTAGGTAAGAACACAAAGGTAGAGTTGAAATTAAAAGAAAAAAAAATCCATCAAGCTAAAAGAGCAATGAGACAGTATTGCAAAGTCTGCAGATAGGCATTATATTGATGCCGCCAGAGGGATTTTGAGTTAGAAATTGTTTCTAGGTGCTTCTGCCTTTGTGATCTGAAACATGACACAGAAAAAAACACTTACCTTTGTAGTTAAGTGTGCATCCTCCATCCCCCAAGCATAAACTGTTAATTATTAACTCCTTTTTTAGAAACCGCTGGTGACAAAGATCATCCTCTCTCCTCCCCAAAAACTCAAGTTAGGAGTGTTCTCAACCTTACCTTCCTCTCCATGCTGTTTATGAGCCACAGCGGGTGGATCAGAAGGATCAAAATTACTATTGCGTTGTTGGGGACTAGTCATTGCTCTTCACAGTGTTGAATAGGAAGCAGCCTAACTCCCTCAGAAGAGCATCTGGAGATACTGGTGCAGCATAATGAGGGCTTGAAAAAAATGCAGACTGCCCGCCCAAAACCTCTTATCTGGCCTGGCCACTAGTAGGGTAATAATGTTCTCCTTATCAGAGTGCAAAGGTATAGAGAGTCTCTGCCCAGGATCTACTGTGGATTGCAAAAGATCCACACAAAGTTAGAGCAAAAGTTAGTGCTTTTATACAGAAAATAATTATAGTTCAGATAAATTTACACTCATTGCTGCTAAACTGTAACTCAAATGCCCTCCTTTATAGTACAAAGGAGCTGCATGGCAGGGCAGGATGCAGCACTGCCTTTCTACTGGTTTCCAGCCTGGGGTGCAGGGAACTGTTGTTAGTCCTTAAGGACCCCTTGTGAGGTCTGAAATGGGATGTATGCTATTTGAAAGGTGTTTGCACAGGACCCTGGTAGTGGTGGTGGGAAAGGACCTTTGTCTGCGCTGCAGCCCTTCTCTCAGCAGGAGTTTCTGCTGCACAAGGTTAGAGCCCTTGTGGCATCGTACACTTTGGAAACCCCTACGGATGGAAACTGCCAAATTCGTGTGACCTGTCCAAGGGCTGCATCACCTTCCTGGGAAATCCAGACAGAATAATGAATCCAGATGGGCACTCCAGCCAAATGCCTGTGTGTGTTGAGGACTACCCTGTGACTTGTTGGTCCAGGCTATGAGCAAAGCACTTCTCTCAGGAAGCAGGATGGCAATGGGTAGCCCCAGTAAAACCAGTGGGAAGACCCAGCTGTCGCCTTGTCCACTGCAGATTACAGGTTACCTCCAGAGAGGTGGGGCATGTTAAGCAGCCCCAAAAGGAGCAGCAGGGTGGTGGCAGCAGAGCAGATACAGGAAGGCTCTGATATGGACGGGTGGGCCAGGATGGCATAAAGAGATGTGAGGCTTCCAAGTCAATTCACAGGGAAGTTTCTTGTTTCTCAGTCGCAAGCGAAGGTGTCCTGTGCTGGTGATGATGTCCATGTTCTAGTACTGCATGATGGTGCAGCACAGCACCGGAGTCATGCAGACTTCTTGAAAACTGTCTTAGAAGGTGCTCTACCATGAAAAGACAGAGCCTGGGGAGGAAGAAAACACATCACATCTCAAATGCTGTATTAAGTTCTGGGCCTCTCACTACAAGACAGACCTTGAGGTGTTGGTGCGGTTCCAGAGAAGGGCAACAAAGCTGGTGCAGGGTCTGGAGCACAAGTCTGATGAGGAACAGCTGAGGGAACTGCGGGGATTCAGTCTGGAGAAGAGAAGGGTCAGGGGGGACATTACTGTTCTCTACGACTACCTGTGGTGAGGTGGGGTTGGTCTCTTCTTCCAAGTAACAAGCAATAGGACAAGAGGTAACAGCCTCAAGCTGCAGTGGAAGAGGTTTAGATTGGACAGTAGGAACAATTTCTTCACAGAGGAGGTGGTCAGGCATTGGAACAGGCTGCCCAGGGCAGTGGTGGAGTCATAGTCCCTGGAGGTATTTAAAAGATGTGTGGTTTAGTGGTGAACTTGGCAGTGCTGGGTTAACAGTTGGGCTTCATGATTTTATGGGTCTTCTGCAACCTAAATCAGAGAGTCGTAGAATCATAGAATGGTTTAGTTTGCAAAGGACCTTAAGATCATCCAGTTCCAAACCCCACCATGGGCCTCACACTAGACCATGTCACCCAAGGCTCTGTCCAACCTGTCTTTGAACACTGCCAGGGGTGGAGCATTTGCCACTTCTTTGAGCAACCTGTGCTAGTGCCTCACCACCCTCATAGTAAAGAACTTCTTCCTTATATCTAACCTGAACTTCCCCTGAATAAGTTTAAACCCATTACCTCTTGTCCTATTGCTACAGTCCCTGATGAAGAGTCTGTCTCTGGCATCCTTGTAGGCCCCCTTCAGATACTGGAAGGCTGCTATGAGGTCTCCACACAGCCTTCTCTTCTCCAGGCTGAGCAGCCCCAGTGTTCTCAGCCTGTCTTTGTACGGGTGCTGCTCAAGCCCCCTGATCATCCTCATGGCCCTCCTCTGGATTTGCTCCTACAGCTCCATGTCCTTCTTATGTTGAGGACACCAGAACTGCGATTCCATATGCCTGGCCATAGCAAAACTTCACATCTAGAAGCATTCTTACAAAAAGCTTGATATTTTCTGGGCTGCTTGAAGATGATATGAAACATAGAAGACAGGATGGAAATCTCTGGGTGTTTCAGTGGTCCATGGGAACTTGCTGCATGCTCAGTCTGTGGCTAACTCAGCTTCTCACACCCTCCATCTACTCAGTCACTCCAAAGCCTGGTGGGGTCCGATAAGTGACTCTTGACTCAGCAAAACATTGCCATATGACACTGCAGAGATGTTACTGTCAATATTTCTCCATTCCAGCAATCTTCTGCTGGGTAGAAATGAATAGATTTGTAAAGAACATTTGTAAAAGAAAGAGTTGGTGTGCCTTTAGTGTCTTTAGAGGTGCTTAATGGAATAGATGGGCTTTAAAATCTTACACAGCCTGCACTTACATGTTTTCAGAACTGAAATCTCTAGAGAGGCTCTTAGGTGCAAATTTCCAAAGAAAGTGATTTTATTATCCTATGGGGAAGCTTCAGTGATTGATGACTGGAAATTACAGATGCAGCTGCCTAGTTTTAAGTTGCCTCTGCTCTGAAGTGGAGGTGAGAGGCAGAGACTCGCCTGCAACAACAGTGACACTGGGCTCATTTTAAAGCCCAGATTACCTCCCTGTCCACCATCAGCACCAGTAACACAGAAGACTCCTCTTTTCCAGCAAAGCTCTCTAGCTCATGTGGCCAAAGCTGCATCCCTTTTGCTATAGAGATGGATTTGTGCAAGTAGATTAAACTTTCCTGCCAGTCTCAGTTGCATGAGCTATTACAGCTGGATACTTTACATATGCCAGGTGCTGCTTCCCTCCGTTCCTCTCCACATTTTGGTTCAGGTAGCCCTAGGATACCTTCACTGATGCTTTGCAGGTGAGGAACTGGAGGAGCTTAACCAGGTGTCTAGCCCCCTGAGCAGCACCAGTGTCACAGAACCCTTTAGTGTCAGTAGAGCTGACCCAACCTTGGGTACATCTCACTGTGCTGGTCCCCCACATGGCTTTTACTACCCAAAAGCTCTGAGAATGCTTTGTCCAAAGGACAGCTGGACCTAGGGCAGGACCCTCTGCCCTAGGCCCATCTCCTAACACTGTTGGGACTGTCACTGCAGATGCCAGGCTTTGGGCCTATGCATAAGACAAAGTTCTTTATGAGGCTTGGTGTATCTCTCTTTACCCCTATCTGTCATTTCTACTGCAAAGCAATATCCAGAGACTTGCATATCCCTCCCTGCAGTCAGTGGATGCAGCCATGAACCCAAGATTGTCACATTGAACATGAGCAGCTGGGGAGCTGGTCTGCTGTTACTCTAACAGCATGTCAGGGCACTTCTCCAGTTTTGTCTCACATGACAACAATAGAGAAGTGATTTTTCAGGCTTGAACTTCACTCCCTGAATTGAAACATGTTTGGGGGCAACTTTCCTGGTTGCAGCACACTTCTCTGGGAGCTGGGCTACCAGTGAGTATCTCTGTGTGATGAACTATGGTGCCTGTGAAAGCAGATAATCCCTTCCTCCCCCTGCCCTGACTGAAGCATGAAAAGATGGGAAACAGGTGGATAAATTCAACAGGCAAAACTGCATGCAAAAGTACAAATCTATGTTTATAGCCCCTGCCACTGACCAGTGCAGTGCACGTCTTGCTGCCCACCAGCTGCCTCCTTAGTCTTGCCTGATCTTGCTAGACACAGATCTGCTAGGCTTCAGGGTTAGGCTTTCTGCCCAAGGTCTGTGGTGGTGTTAAATCAGCACCCCCCAGGGTGTGCCTCTTGCTCTTGAGCCATATTGAAATAAGCAGGTGAATCCAGCAGTCCCTGGGGGAGGATGAGTGTCTCGAAATCTGCTGCGTGTAGCATCAATACTAACAGGGTCCCAAGGCTGCTCAAGCTTTGACCTTGCACGTCTGGTGCACAAGTATGTGCTTTAGCTCTGTAGTTTCTAAATAAACAATCCACGGTGTGATTGGAGGCATGCAGCTTTCCCCTCCAGAACAACCCCTAGATTGTCTGTGTTGTTTTTTTCTAGCCTCTGCAAATAAATAGATGGGGCTCTTCGGGTATACAGAATGAAGGGCTGCAGCCACTCTGTGTGTGCAGGGGAAAATGGGTTCCAGTTATGCACCATGTTATGCTGGATCTTCCCTCAGCCCTCCCAGAAAGCTGGGACAGAGCTGTCCTAATACACCCTGTGTGTGGCTGGGCTGGCAGCAGGAGGAACAGAAAACCCCATGGGGAAGATGCATTTGTGTTCTTCACTATGGAAGTGTTTTAGGGATGATAACCCCACCAAAATCCATCCCTATGGTGCATCTGAAGGTCTGCACAGAAAGACTGGCAATACAGAGAACAACATGCAGCCAGACCACCCCTCCCTTGCTACCTGAGAGCTGGAAGGGAGCAAACGGGCTTGCAGATCCCTGGGACAAATGAGCAGATGGTAGAGTAGCAGTAGCTGTGGGTAGGTGGGCAAGCTGTCTCCCCTACTCTGCAGAAGTGGAAAGAGTCCAGGCATGGAAAACAGAGATGATAGAAGCTATGGACAACTCCGAGCAACTAGCTAGCTAGGACTTTCCAGCCTGGGGAAGAGGTTTGAATGAGAGAAAAGCTTTCAATGATAGCGAAGAAGCAGTGGACATCATGTCAGATGCATCTCTCATCAGACCAAGCATGGCTGTTATATGCTGTCAGTACTATTTCCAGCTGCAGCATTAAATCTACCAGCAATGGCTTTGCTGTGCATTGTGGTGCTGCCATGTCCCATGTCATGATTCCAGGAAGGTGCAGAGCTGGAGGAGGTGTGTAGGGATGACTTACATGACTAGCTGGCCAAGCACGACAGTAGCCATGACATTGGCACAGCTCCTGGACTCTTAGGGTGGTCACTGACTTCAGGGAGCTCGCTTGACCATGTCATGTGCCCTGGACTCTTACCCAGGTGCCTGCAAGTGAGTTGTATGAGTATAGCACTAAGTCAGAGCAACGTGATTCCCTATGGGTGAGCACAGACGTGTCCTGGAAGGATTTCAGCTCACACTGAAGTTCTTTTAAAGGCTGATCAGAAATATCAACCAGTCATTCTGGAGAAACACAACATTTGGTGCAGAACTGAAATGAATTCAGCAGGCAAGTCCTGGATTAGCTAGCGCCTGCTGATATCTGCCACTGCAAGGAAAGGGATCCCCTTGCATACCCAAGTTGTACAGTCTTGTTACAGCTATCTCATGAAAGGTCAGTTGTGTCCCATCTGGGAGACAAAAGAGCAGAGGAAGCCCCAAGGACTGCCAATACACACTTAAACTGTTACCTTGGTTGGACTGTGCCAGTCCCAGAGATGGCCCTGACACCAGGAGCAACCTAGACCTGAAATTCCCAGAGAGTAGTTCTGGGTAATAGTGAAGTTTGGTGGCTACTTTCAGGAATCAGGAATCCTTGATGGAGCAAGAATCAGGGGTCCCTTGTGTGCAGGGTCTCCCCTTGGGCTCTTTCCACACTGCTGTCGTGAAAGGCTCTTTGGTAAGAAGCTGAATAAAATCTGCACTTCTCAGTGCAGATGTTATTATTTTCAACTTACATCAGCTCTGGAAGCTGTGGTGTTTGCTAGGGAGCCAGGGAGATGTTTTCTCACACGCTGGAGAAACTTCCCTTTTGCTAAATGGCCATCCTACAGAAAAAAACATCTGCACCTTCTTCACTGGAATCTGTGTGCTTCTTGCTACTCCCACAGGGCCTTTGCCACAGGAATGTGCAAGAGATAATACAGTGCAGAGCATCACTTTACAATGGATTTGAAATGAACGTTTTGACTGTACGCTTTTAGTAGCCCTTCGTAGGAACCACCTTATGCTGTTTTCCCTCAGCCTTGCATAAAAGAATTTCTGTTGAAATAAGACTGTGCCCATCATTTTATTATTAACCTTTGCTAACTTTAACGCGCAATCAGTACAGAGCATACAGGATCAATTAATCACCTGTTTCTGGGCTCAGGAAAGCTCAGATGTCTTGACAGTCCCCATCTTTCAAAATCCAGATGTCTTGCCTGGTTCTCCTAGAATAACAGAGGAAAAAAAGCATAAGTGCTCAAAAAATACTCACCACATCATACTTTGGCTCCTGTCCAGCCCATGGAACAGAGCTGACTGGTATAAAATTGGCTTACTTTCCTGTCTAGAAAGCTGCTGTGGCTGCATGCCATCCTGGCCCACAGTGTCTCCTCCTCTGTGAGTGATGCTTGTGGTTGCTGCCCTGTTTTGCATCACTCACTACCACCAAGAAGAGTGTGGCACCATCCCATTTGCAACCATAGGCTGCGGCTAGATCCCCCAAGCCTCCCATGCCCCAGACTAGCTGGACACAGCTACCCTGTACCTCCCTGCAGCTTTCCTTGACAAGCTGGGCATCCCTGTCCTCCTACAGCCTAGCACACAGTTTGTGTTATCTGCTGTGCAAGTGCACTCCTGACCTGTGCTCAACCTCATTTTCACCCTCTGTCCCTTTCTAGTGAGATCTCCTGCTCAGTCACTCCCCAGTCTGGATAAAATCAGTGCCCCAAAATAATTTGTGCTTCTCTTAGGGTCCCTGCTGCCCTAGTCCTAAAGTTTATGGTGGTACCTTTTGTTTGAAGTTATGCCAAAACAGGCATGAGGCACATAATCGGACATCTGCATTCGCAAAAGTCCCTTTGAAGGACTTAGTGGTGCTATTTGACTCTCCAGGCTAGATACTTAGTCAACTTTCTGCCCAAGTTCAGCTCTGCCTTCTCTGATTGCAGGCAGCACGAACGGTGGGACTTTCTCCCATCCTTGACAGTGTCTGGTTTGTTGCCAGCTTGCCAGCACCCATGTCGGAGGCCTTCTGGCCATGGGCTCCTGACCTCACCTTTTTCATCTGCTGATCATGCAGCCACAGATGGTCTGACTTAGCAAGCTGATCCAATGGATGAATAGTCAGCTTTTCTGTGGGATTAGTCCCCTGCCAACACAATAACCTAAATCCCCCAGCCTGCAGCTGAGCTGTAGCTACTGAACATCGTGCTAAGAATGGGGCAGGAACCTTCAGGCAAGGGCTGGGGACATGCCTGCACCTTTTTTCAGGCACTACCAGCGCAGGACGGTGAAGCTCCCAGGCACAGGGGAGCTTGAGTAACAGTATTTCACAAGCACCCAGTTTCAGACGGCCAAAATTAGGCACCTGGAGGTCTCTGCCAAGGGCATGAGCTTACATTTGCTGCACACAGAGCTGGCATTCATTGGCATAGGTGTTCCCATCAGTCCCACAGACAGGCAAGTGCAGGAGGGGGCAGGCCTGCAGCTCCACCATCTCTCTACACACCGGCTGAAAAGGAGAATCCACAGCACCCATTTCAGTACCAGAAGCACCCACTTCTTCCTCCCACAGCACCTGGGAAGGAGCAAGTCCCACCAGTGACCTGGCTCCCCCTGCTCTGGGCAGAGCACACAGAGCAGGAAAGCAGAGGGCAGGGGCCACCACGTCTCTCAGTGGGACTCATAACTTGTCCTCTGATGTGGGCTTGATGCTGGAGCACCAGCACACATGAGGCTGAGGATGGTTGCTGGGAACAGCTTTTCTCCCAGGCATGCTAGGCACTGAATCTAATCTCTTACCTTTCTCAGGCCATTCCCTTTGTTCACCTCTGCCCCTGAAACAGAGAAGAGACACATGAACATGGCAAACCAGTGACTGGTGGCAGGAGCATGAGACATCAACAGGGGTCACATCCAGACCAAAGGAAAGGCAGGGTTGTACAGGACCCACTCAGGATCCAGATCAGCTGTGTGGGTTTCGTGAGTGGGAGACCAGTTTCCTGCATGCCACCCTCCCAACAGCACAGTGCACAGCCTCCATCCACAGCTGAGCTGGCTGGGACAAAGCTGGCAATGCCTGTTCCTGCTCCCTAATCCCTCTACTGACAGCCTTCTCTCCCAGTGTCTGGACCAGGAGCTCCACAGTGCCTCCAGCACATTCCAGGAAATGTGAATCCGTGGAGTGCAGTGCAAGGGGTGTCTTCAGAGGGCTGAGGCTGGGTGACTCTGTACAGCCAGACAACAGCCATTCCAGAGAGAGCTGCATTCTGTGGGTTCTTCTTCTGCAGTCCGGAAGAGCAGTAGCAACAGTTCACAGCCCACCTGTGCAGTGAATGAATATCCTGGGAGCAAGAGGGCTTATACACAGGCTGCTGCGGGACCACCGTTATGAGCACCTAGGTAGCATTGATTTTCCAGAGTCTACAAATAGCTGCCTCCCACATGAATATGCTGAGCACACAGTGTTCTTGCAAAGACTTGCAGCTTTTCATGGAAGCAGGAAGAACAGTAGCTGCCAGCACAGTGTATGTGCTGTCCCCACATATCCTGGTTCCTGCCTGCATTGTGGGCTGTCCCCTGTCCCACCACTCTCCCGAGGGCAATGCAGTTGAGGAACTGGCACAGTCTGTTTGCCCCAATCCTTCCTCCCCACCCTGCTGCCCCTATGTGTGCTTGCCCTCCCCACCTCTGCTCCAAACCAGAGATCCTGGTTCTTTCTGCCCTCCCACCCATTTCTGGTCCATCCATTGCTCCCAATCCTCCACCACAGAGCCATGTGCCAGCAGCAGAGCGGGCTTACCACTGGCAGTGATGAAAGCAACCAGTGCCGCTGCCACCACCAACACCACCGGCAGCTGTTGCGTGGGCATGGCTGGTGTGGACGCATGCACTCATGCACCTCACTCTGAGCATGGCTGCCTTTATAGGAAGGGCATCGGCTTATCTCAGCAGTGCTGGGAAAAGCAGCACTTTGATCTGCACTGGGAGCAGCTGCTCTGTGCGCCCAGAGGGATCACTTGGGTGTTCTCACAACACTGATAATCCCCGCCAGTGCCACTTGCCAGCCTCAGGCACTGGAGGCTGCTTTACAAGGCCTTGCACTGTTGTCTGGGGTGGGTGATGCTGCTCTTCTCCACTCCCCACAGTCAGCTCACCCCTGGGTGTATCTCACCCAAACCATCTCTCCAGCTTGGCAGCTGCTGTTCTTCATACATATCAGGTATGCCCAGTTGGGCTGGGAGACTTCCCATGGAAAAGAGGAAATTCAGGCACATTTGGATGGCTATGCTGTGGCTTGAGCATTATGAGACACAGGCAAGCAGATGCTCAGCTCCCTGACGCACAGGGGCAGAACCGCAGGAGTGGGATCTCAAATACACAGGCAGGAGACCTGCTGTCATGCTGCAGCAAGCACACCCCATAAGAGGGTGGGATGGGAATGGCTGGGGGTGGGGAGGGGCTTTAGGGAGTGAAATTCAGGAGTGGGAGCAGGGAGCTGCAGCTGCAGCCACTGCCTTTGCTCCTCTACCCATCCTCGTGGGCAGTTTGATACTTTGCTCTGCTCACCAGCTTGGTCACGTAAATGATTGCAGCTGAAACTGACAAAGCAATAGTATCATAAGATTCAGTGTGATGGGAGGGGTCTGTGTGAATAGAAAACCAGCTTCAATACTCAGAGGGAGGGGCAGAGAGTGTGGAGAGGATCCTCCATGGCAAGAAAAGCCAACTGTTCACTGAAGAACTTTTACGCAAGCATCACCAACCCAGAAGATCCCAGCCACTTTGCCTGCAAGGCTGGATGCTCAATGTCATTCTTTCCATGTAAGCATCTTCATCACCCCTTTCTGAAGATCTCAATTTACCACATCCATCCCCACCTTCCTCTGGTGAATCAGCAGTAAAGGGTAAAGGATGGAAACAAAGACCACTGTGTGGAAAGTCAGTGTTGTAGCTAAAGACCAGCATTGACTAAAAACTCCTTTGGGACAGACTTGTTGGGGTCGGAAGTGACAGAGGGTCTCCTTCACTCTGGGAGCAGGCAGCAGGTGCTGTGTGGGCAAGGGGCAGGAAGGGGGTAGGTGTCCTACAGAAGTCACCATCGGCCTGGGAGAGCTCCAGACACCCACAGCAAGCACATGTGCACTTGCTGAGGAGCTGACCATGACTGTGCTCAAGACATTTCTTCCCAAAAGTCTACCTGAGGCTTAGGAAGGTACATGCTAGCCTTAAATGTCTGAGACAAGGAAACAGCCTGGTGAGCATCCCTCCTCATCAGAGGGGTATGGGCACTACAGAAAACTGCTTTCATCCTTGCCATTGGGAGGTCTTTCCACCAGCTCAGCAGGGCTGTGAGCAGGTTCTGGGAAGGAGGAAGGTGACTGATTCAGGGTTCCCCTTCCAGAACCATTCCTCTGCTCTGCCAAGGCAGCTGTGCACATGTTTTATATTCCCTCTTCACAGAGTTTACACAGCTCAGTAACCTTTGGCTGTTATTATTATTCCACTTTGGAAATCCCTCAACTAAAGTAAACACTTAATTGCATTAGCGGTTATTCCTGAGGCACATGGGGGCCTGTTGTTCTTTTTTAATCTAGTACTAGGAAGGCCAAAGTGGGATCTGATAGTAGACTGATAGTAGCAGTAGCCGTTGTTCCTGAAGCTAATGAGGGCCTGCTGTTCTTGTTTAGTCTAGTACTAGAGAGTCCAAGGTGGGATCTGATAGTACCCTGACAGCAGCAGTAGCAGCTGTTCCCAAGGCACATGGAGGCGTCTTGGTCTTGTTTACTCCGGTACTAGAGAGGCCGTGGTGGGAGCTGATACAGCCTCTTGATAGTGCCAGATAACAGAATAAAATACAACAAGCTCAAACTGCAGCCCTGAGATGTGTGGGTCACAAGTTAGGAAATAATCCCTACAGTGGAGATCAAGCAGCAACCCAGACCAGCAGGGAGGTGGGAGATCTCCATCATTGGTGGCCTATGTGCAGGGGTGCAGGTGGCCTGTCCAAGCCCTTCCACGCACAAGGTTTAGCGGGTCCACCAAACCAAGGTTTGGAGGAGCCCACCAACAGTGTGTTGGGTCCTGGGGACACAGGAGCTCTCATCTCCAGCACACATGGCACCTACCTTTCAAATGTGGTCACAGCCAGCACTCAACTACATGGACACCATGGGGCCACGTCCTGCAAACTGCTCCCACACCAACACTCAGGCTGGGAGCACAGCCCTGGTTGAGGGCTATCATGGGCCTTTACAATACTCTTCAATGCTTTTATTACCAAAAAACCTACACAAAAACTGATGGCCTCCAGTGCCACCACTGCAGAGAACCATGCTGTGTCACAGGTCCCAGGCATGGCCTGGCTCTTTGGGTCTGTACCAGAGGCAGAAGGTTATGTGGTGCTGTGGAAAACCTGTTGGCTGACACACCGCTTGATCTTCCCCCATGTGGTTTTTCAGTGGCATTCAAACACTAAGAGACGACAAAAACACCTCTTGCAAGCTGCTTTTGTCTTTTTCTGCTTTTTCGGTCAAGCACAGGCTTTCAGACCCTGCTGAAGGTCCTGCCTGCTGTCCCCCTCATAGAAGAGGTGGGGAAATTCTTCCTTGGGTGGAACTGGAGGGTTTCTGATGGCTGTTTGCCCTCACACTGGCCCCACAGCTCCAGCTATGTCTGAGACAGTCACACATTTGAGTCTGGGCTTTCCTGCTGTGTGTTGCAGGTGTCATGAAGTGGGCTACCTTTCTGCTGTCCCTGGTGTGTCCGAGGCTTCCAGTGCTACAGGAACACACGGGGGAGCTACTTCTCATTCCCTTCGGCAGGGGCTGTAGTGATAGGACAATGGGTAATGGGTTCAGACTTACACAGGGGAAGCTCAGGTTAGATATAAGGAAGAAGCTCTTTACTGTGAGGGTGCTGAGGCCCTGGCACAGGTTGCTCAGAGAAGCTGTGGCTGCCCCATCCCTGGCAGTGTTCAAGGCCGGGTTGGATGGGGCTTGGAGCAACCTGGTCTAGTGGGAAGTGTCCCTGCCCATGGCAGGGGGTTGGAACTGGATGAGCTTTAAGGTCCCTTCCAACCCAAACCATCTCACTTGTTGCCTCACGGTGTAGCCCCTGACTGCAGTTGTACTCACAAGCTGACTGGCATCCTGTGTCTGCGCTGCCTGCCCGGGATTGCTTGTTGCAGCGTGGACCTTTACCATGGCTATGCCTCCTGGTAACCACGGTGCTGTGTGCAGGCTCTCCATCTGCCTGGGCACTTGTGGCAGCAGGTCAAGCTGGATTACATCACATTACTCTTTCTCCATGTCTGCCAGGTGGCCTCATCTGACTTGTGGCCTTGGATTTGTCACCGCTCCTCCCAGCACCTGCCAGTTGCTGTTCTCAGCTGCCTTTCCTGGATTTTATGGCTGTTCTCAGCCTTACAGCTTCCTGCACTTGCACCAGTGTTTTAACTCCTCTTCTGCTGCTCCTCCCAGGGCTTTCGCATAGCAGCAAAGCGCCCCAAGCACCCAGGTAACTCAGAGCAAAGCACTGCCAAGCTCCGAGTCCACAGTCTGCCCGCCTGCTGCACAAACGAGCAAGTAAAAAAGAGGAGGGTAAGTACCACACTCATTTCCATCATTAGCTCTCTCCCTGCTCCAGATTTTTCTTTTACAGAGATGATGAGAGTCTCTGTTCTGCCTCTGCTCACCCTGAGGTGTATTCACAAGTAGAAGGGAAAAGGACTGATTTGTTCCTTTGGATGGAACAAAAGCCCCCACAGAGATGCAGGTGACCAAAGGTTTTCCTTTGGCTATAGAGGGGAACACCCCATCACACATGAGATTGTTACCCTGTGTAACCAGGGCAGGGAGCAGCTATCGCCACTTCCCATAAGTTTCGCCAGAATATCTGGGTTCACACCGCACATTTGGCTGTCTGCTTCCTCTTTATTGCTGTGGGTAAATACTCCCACGTGGCAGGCAGTGAGTAACGCTCACTATTTCATTGATGATTCAGAAATATCCTGGTGACACCACTGCATGCTGCGAGAGTGCAAGACAGGGTGAGTCCACGTGCGAGTCCTCCTGCCTGCTGACCTCCCCACCAGCACAGGGTCAGTCAGGACCAAGGTGGCATCGGTCTGGACAAGACTAGAGCTTCCCGCCAAGCCAGGCTGTGCGCCGGACCTCAGAGGTGCAGCAGGCTAGGGGTTCATCCATTGCACACCTTTGTCCCCTGCTTTAACTGCAGCTGGGCAGCAGCTGCTGCAGCTTGCCCCAGTCCATGGATACCTGTGTCTCCTCTCCTTTGGATGTTTGCCTCTGCCTGTTTGGACCTCTGGACTACAAGACATGCTCTGAGTGCATCTGTGGTATGCAAATGCCCTACAGCTCCTTGGCAGCTTAAGAACAGTGCTGACCTTTTTTCCATGTGCTCCCACATAAGGGATGGGTGTTTAAACCATCAGTGCAGCAGATAATACAGCAGAAAACCATGGATTTACATTTTCTCTAGTGAATGCTCAGCATGGGTAAACTAAGCCACCATGCTGGCATAAGGGAGGGGGATGAAGCTGTGTTGTCTAGGCTGGGTGGGCAGAACTCTCAGCTAGGTGGGCTGGGACTGCTGCATACTGCGCCCTCTTACTCTGAGCAGACAACAGTTTACCTGGATGCTGGCAGCAGGAGCAGGTGTATCTCTGTCCCAGACATGCCAGTGATCACTCTTGTTTATATTAGAAGTTGCACTCCCTGTGACTTAAAAAAAAAAAAAAGAAAAGGTCATATTCTGGAGCCTCTTTATCCCTGGAGTTTGTTTCTAGGTGAACAAACCTATATTGGTTTGTTCATCCTTAGTCTTTTTATACCTTCTGAGAACAGTGTTCCTAATTCCATCTTGTGTAGGACTGAATGCTGTCATCAGCCTGCATTTA